TGATTATGCGAGTCACGCGAAACTGCTGAACCTCGGCCAGTGTAGCTCACGCTAAAAGAAAGAGAGGGAGTCGTAAATAAAAAAAAAAGCGAGGACCATGGTGGTGCTCGGCACCCAAAACCATTTGTTTCTGTTCTGTAGTTGGGTTTTTCTCTCTTTTTGCGGTCGGCTCCAGGGCGGATGGCGCAGATTATGCCATAGCTCATTAGTACCACTTTTTCCTTTGCTTTCCCGCAAAACAACATATTAAGATTACGAATACGTAATTAATACCAGCAAAGCCTTACTGAAACGACTGTAGTTTCCTAAGAGCGTGGGGACGTTTTTAGCAAGCGATCTTGAATGTCTTTTTAGCCAGTTTTCAGTTCGATTTAATGTGATCATGTTAACTGAAACGTGGTATTCTGACGAAGCGGATGCATTTCATTTGCCATCGTACAAATGCTTATGTTTAAATCGTACCTTTAGTCGTGGCGGAGGTGTTTCAGTATTGATAGATGAAAGCATGTCACATAATTTATTGCCAAATTTCTGTATGATTACCCATGATTACGAGGTGTTATCACTCATATCAGGCGATATGCTTATCTCTGTCGTCTATCGTCCACCAGACGGTAACGTTTCAAATTTTTTAGCATTTTTTGAGAGCCTTCTGGGATTCGTTAGTGACAACAACCTGAACGTGATAATTGGCGGGGACTTTAATATCAATATGCTGCTGTGTGCTATGCCTAGTATTGAGTTAGAAATGTTGCTTACAACATATGGATGTGTCAACGTAATCACGAAGCCAACAAGGATTACACAGCAGTCGGAGACCTGTATCGACCTTTTTATAACAAACGCTGAGGTTACCCGCCTAAATGGAGGGATTTTTATGTCTCATATTAGCGACCATCTCCCAATATTCCTATGCATAAAAGATGCACGTTGTCTCAAAAATGGTGTGCACTCACCTATATATTTTCAAGTTATTACACCTGATAATCTTGAAAGGTTTTGTAATGATATTGCAAATGAAAACTGGAATGACGTTCTTAACGCAACAGATCCCGATGTAGCTTACAATGTATTTCTGGACCAGTTCAAAATTCTTTATGCAAAAAACTTTCCTTATAAGAAAATTAAAAAATCAGGTAAAATTCGAAAGCCTTGGATTACCCAAGATCATCTAGCTAAAATCAATATAAAAGATCGCCTCTTTCAGAAATTTAACAGATCGAAAAATCCAGACGACCTTAAGAAATTCAAATTTTATCGGAACCAGCTGACAAAGGAGCTTCGAAATGCCAGGACCCGTTATTACTACAATAGTTTTAAGTCACCCAATGGACGTGTGGACGAAATTTGGAAAAAGGTTAATTCAGTCCTACAAGACAATAGGGCGCATGACTACGTTGAAACCCTACGCGTAAATGGCAAAGGACTCAAGGGTACTGATCTGGCTAATGCATTTAATGATCACTTTGTTAACCTGGCTACTTTGACACATGATTCAGATGCCTGCAAATATATTAAAAATAGGAACATGAATTCAATCTTCTTGGATCCTGTCACCGAGTTCGAGGTATCAAATGTGTTTATAAACCTAAAAAATACGAAAAGCAGAGACATAGATGATATCCAGATCAAACCTGTGAAATATGTTGTACCTTTAGTGGCACGATACTTAACGCATATATTTAACTTGTGCATATCGGCTGGCGTTTTTCCCAAACGTATGCAGATTGCTAAAGTCTGTGTACTGCACAAGAAAGGTGATAAGAACGATATTAACAATTATAGGCCAGTGTCGATTCTCCCTGTTTTCTCGAAAGGACTTGAAAAAGTTATTTATGCACGTCTGGTAAATTTTTTTGATAAGCACAGCTTAATTACCAAATCGCAGTTCGGGTTTCGTAAACATCGTTCAACTGAACTAGCCCTCCTTGAAGAAAAAGAATTTATTTTAAGAAGTCTTGAGGATCGAAAACTAGCGCTTGCGGTTTATGTTGATTTCACGAAAGCATTCGATTATTTGAATCATAAATTGCTGTTACTAAAACTCGAATCTTATGGTGTCAGGGGTCAGGCTTTACTTCTGCTCCAGTCTTACCTAGAAAGCCGAAAGCAATATGTGTGCTACAATAACTTTTCTTCTGTAATAAAACCGATAGTTGTTGGAGTACCACAAGGAAGTATATTAGGTCCTTTTCTTTTTAATGTGTATGTAAACGACATCCTAAATATTGACCCATCAATAAAATTTGTAATGTACGCAGACGACACGACATTACTTTACAAGGCTAAGGATGCAGATGAGCTTGTACATAAAATAAACTCAGTACTGGGGGAAATGTTTCTATGGACTAATAAGAACGCTTTGAAAATAAACATAAATAAAACAAAGGCTGTTATGTTCCGTCCTAAGAATAAAGTTCTCGAATCTATAGAGCCAATTATTCTTGACTCTACCGAAATCGAATTGGTCGACAATTTTAAAACGTTGGGAGTTGTTTTCTCTCAGAATATGTCATGGGACTTACATATTCAGGATTTATGTAGGAAATTGTCAAAAACTATTGGATTAGTTTGCCGCCATCGATATACATTTCCACCATCTGTCAAAATGTTGTTATATAAATCACTGTTTTATTCATACCTAAATTACTGCTCTTTGGTCTGGGGCACAACTACGGCAACGAACCTAGAAAAAATATACTTATTTCAAAAAAGAATGCTACGGATTATTGCAAATACAAGTTATTTATCACACACAGAAAGCTTGTTTAAAAGATATAATGTACTTAGTGTTCATGAGCTTTACAATTATAGACTTTCCTTAAGGCTTAAGGCAGAAGCACAAAATAATACTTCATTCTTGATTGATCTATCTTGTTTGCAGCAACATGTAGCACCATATACGCTTCGAAACTCTGATCCTTGGCAAGTACCTACTTGCCGATTGAATTCCGGGATGGAAATGTTGGCCTACCGTATCCCAAGGCTTCTCAACTTTTTGCATTCATGTGATGTTTGCCTGCATGAAACACCTCTGAAAGGGCTACGTATCACTTTGCTTAATTTATCAACGTAGATATTATCACGCTTTATTGTCAAACCCTAAAAAGTATGCGTTTTTTTCTTGTTTTGTTATTATCTTTTGTATAAACTAAAGTTTCCACTGCTGCTGCAGAATGTACTGGGGCCGAGAGCTCGTCAAGCCGCCTAGTGCGGCTTTTTTTTCTCGGCTCCGCCATTACCTGTAATGGAAATAAAGCTATTATTATTATTATTATAAAATAACACGGGAGTGGTAAAAGACATGTTTCTCTGGGGAGTATTCACTTATCCATGACTAAACTTCTGGGAAGGTGAAATAAAAAAAAGATAAAGTATAAACGATAGCATTAAACAAATTATCTTGAAAAATTAAAGCGAAAAACGGCTCCACTAAACCAAAACTGTGCCGTTTCAGGAACCTTTGAGTTGCTTGGCTATATGAATTTCTTCAAGCGAAACTCTAGAACCATATCACATTTGTACTATCTGAGGATTGGTCGTGCCGTTTTAAAGAAAAATATTGAGCTTTTTTTAGTCTAATATGAAATAAATATAGTCAAATAAACTTCTACATATTAATTATTTCTTAGTGGTTGGTTGCACTACAACTCGAGTTATAAAGGTTTTCTGATTTCCAGTGCTGCGATTATAGTGAAAGCTTCGCACCTGTGCAGGGGAAGAAGATTGTTATTGAAGTTTTTAATACTTCTAAAAAAAAGATGAAAATTTATGTCAAAATAAATTTGACGTAACTATTGAGGAGTCATACGCAAAAGAAAAATATGTTCTTTTTTTAAACAGCGTTGATGGAAAAAAGAGATATCATAAAACGAATTTACAACGGAGAACAAAAATATCAGAGCTAGATGTCATATCTGGGCGCGCGCCGCCGATAACAGAATATCGTAGTACGGCGCATGCGCCACTAAAAGATAAAAAGAGGTGCTCCGCTGGCTGCCGCCTTTCTTTTGCTCAGTTACCCCCCATCCATGAGCATGGTGGAATAAACCTGTCCTTTCGCCTTTGGAAACCTGCTTGTTCCTCGCTTCTGGCCGACATACAACAACTGGCGACGAGGTTGGGACAAGGACCGTCGGCCGAGAACAGCAGGTGTTTCCGCAGGGGCGGACATAGCATCGACAGCCATCATGAGCGAAGAAGCCGGGACGCACTTCGCCGGTCGAATGGGTTATCTGGAACCGTTCGACGAGTCTTCCAGCGACTGGGCTTCTTACGACGAAAGGTTAACGTCGTTCCTGATCGTCAACGGAGTTCCAGAGAGCGACAAAGTTCACGCCTTCCTCAGCATCATCGGTCCGAAGACCTACGCGCTACTGAAGTCCCTGACTGCTCCGGAGCTGCCTTCAACGAAGAGCTTCGAGTACCTCAAGAAGGCCCTCGGCGACCACCTGTCACCCAAGCCGTCCATCATCGGTGAGCGAGCCAAGTTTCACCGGAGAGGGCAATATGAAGGCGAGTCTATTTCCGGGTACGTCGCCGAACTTCGAAAACTGTCGCAAACGTGCGACTATGAAAGCGTTTTGGACGAGTCACTCCGCGACCGCTTCGTGTGCGGATTATTAAGGGAAGACATACAGCGCGTGCTGTTCACGGAAGACAGCAAGCTAACGTTCCAGAAAGCGGTGGAACGCGCCCAAGCCATGGAAGCTGCGAAGCAAAGCGCGGCTGAGGCTCGCGTCGGCAACTCAAGCGTCACTGACGTGCACAAGGTGCAAGCAGGGAATGAGAAGCAGAGGGACAGCTGCTATCGCTGCGGGTCGTCACGGCACCGCAGTCAAGAGTGCCCTCATCGGCAGAGTGTATGCCACAAGTGCGGCAAGAAAGGTGACATCCAAAGGGTTTGCCGAAGCGGGACTGACGTAGGGGGCAAGAAACGTCCGCCAGGAAAAAGGGTAAAAACGCTGGAAGTTGAAGGAAGACTAGCCGTCGTACACGGCGTGTCTTCGCCCAGCCTTACCCCAGTGACGGTGCAGATGGTGATCAACGGATCTGCGGTTGAAATGGAACTAGACACAGGAGCAGCGGTAACTGTAATGTCTGCTAAACAGTTTCACCAGTCTTTTCCGTCTGTGAAACTGACGCCAACTGTAGTCAGGCTTCGCACCTACACGGGAGCCCTGGTTCGACTTCAAGGCGTTGCGACAGTCAATGTGCAACATGGTGAGGCGTCAGTACAGCTGCCACTGTACGTCGTCGATGGAGCCGGGCCGCCACTACTGGGCCGGGAGTGGCTTCGAACGATACGACTCGACTGGAACAAGATCTGGGAGCTGAATCACATCTCAAGGTCAGACGTTTTTGCTTCTAAACGTATAAAACAGAAGCTTGACTCTTTGCTGTCAAAGTACGAGCCACTGTTCAACGATGAGCTCGGAACTATAACTGAAGAACGAGCAGAACCTTTCTTCAAACCGAACGCGAAACTGAAATTTCTAAAAGCGAGAAACGTTCCGTTCGCGTTGCAAACGGCTGTTGAGGCGGAGTTGTCGAAAATGGAAAAGATGGGCATTATCACTCCGGTGACTACAGCAGAATACGCCACGCCTGTCGTGCCGGTTATCAAAAAGGACGGGGGCATTCGTCTTTGCGGCGATTATAAGACCACTGTCAACCCTTGTCTTGATATTGACCGTTATCCACTTCCAAAAGTTGATGATCTATTCGCGGCTCTATCAGGAGGCGAACTCTTTTCGAAGATAGATCTTAACCGAGCTTATCAGCAGGTGGTGATGTCAGAGTCGTCAAAACGCTACCTCACGCTGAACACGCACAAGGGGCTGTTCATTGTAAACAGACTTCCTTTTGGAATCTCGTCAGCACCCGGAATTTTTCAAAGAATAATGGACACCATGCTGAAAGGTTTGAGCGGCGTTTGTTGTTATGTAGATGACATTTTAGTCACGGGCAAGACTACGGAAGAACACATGGCCAACCTTGAAGCAGTGTTGAAGCGTCTGCTTGAACGAGGAGTTCGAGTCAAGAAAGAAAAATGTTCGTTTTTTCAGCCTGAACTTCGCTATCTAGGTCACAGGATCAGCGCTGACGGCATCTCGACGTCGTCTGACAAGGTGGAGGCGGTGCTCCAGGCTCCCGAGCCCAAGACAAAGCAGCAGCTCCAGTCTTTTTTGGGTGACGTCAATTACTACGCCAAGTTCGTGCCCCATCTTGCAACGACAGCCCGACCGTTTTACAGATTGCTGCGCAAGGACGAGCCATGGTGTTGGGACCAGCTTTGCCAGGAAGCCTTCAACACCATCAAGGCCGAGCTGGCGTCGCCTCCCACCTTGGCCCACTACGACCCCGACAAACCGCTAAAGCTAGCGTGTGACGCCTCTCACTACGGGGTAGGTGCTGTAATTTTTCACGTTTACGCAGATGGCAGCGCTAAACCCATCGCTTACGCTTCGCGTACGCTATCGAACGCTGAAAAAGGGTACAGTCAGCTCGAAAAAGAGGCACTAGCCATTATTTTTGGAGTTAAGAAATTCCACTCGTATCTTTATGGTCGGCTCTTCACTTTGGTCACGGACCACAAACCGCTCCAGACCATTTTAGGTTCGAAAACTGGAATTCCAACCGTTGCCGCTGCGCGATTGCAGCGTTGGGCAGTCGCATTGTCGGCCTACACCTACGATCTTATCTTCAAGAGATCAAGCGAGAATGCCGAAGCAGATTTTTGCTCGCGTCTTCCACTACCGACCGTTGGAAACGAGACTAAAGAAAATGAGGAATCATTCTACTCATTGCGACTGCAATCACTGCCGGTATCTAGTAGTGATATAGCACGTGCAACAGCGCGAGATCCAGTTTTGTGCCAAGTGAAAGAATTCACAAGCGCAGGCTGGCCCGCGTCTGTCTCTGACGAGAAACTAAAGCCTTTCTTCGACAGACGCAACGAGTTGACCATTCATCAGGGCTGCATCATGCTCGGAATGCGAGTTGTCGTCCCAGGGAAACTGCAATCCCTGCTGCTGGATGAACTTCACGAGGGCCATTCGGGTATTGTGCGCAGCAAGGAGCTCGCGCGCAGTTACGTTTGGTGGCCGAGCATCGAGGCGGACCTGGAGCGCAGCGTAAAAAAACTGCATAAGTTGTCAAGAGCAACGTAGTGCGCCTGCCAAGGCACCCCTCCATCCGTGGTCATGGCCCACAACGCCGTGGCAACGTGTTCACATAGTCTTTGCTGGACCTTTTCTTCAGTCTATGTTCCTTGTTGTGGTAGATGCCCACTCCAAGTGGCCAGAAGTATTCATGATGCGCTCAACCACGACGGAGAGCACGATTAACACTTTGAGAGAACTTTTTTCTCGTTTTGGCAACCCTGAAACTATCGTGTCAGACAATGGTCCTCAGTTCACGTCACGGGAGTTTAAACGGTTCACACAGGAAATTGGCTCTCGTCACGTCCTGACAGCTCCCTACCATCCAAGTTCAAATGGTTTAGCCGAACGCTTTGTACAGACCCTCAAGAACGCCCTCCGTAAAAACAAGGAGAGTGCGCCTTTGCATGTGAAGTTGCAGACGTTTCTGCAGAGCTACCGCAACACGGCTCACGCCACAACGAACGAGTCACCCGCCAATTTGTTTTTGGGGCGACGTTTGCGCAGTCGCCTAGACGTTCTAAAGCCTTCTGTGGGGGAAAGGGTACCCCGCAAACAGTTCATGCAGACTGCAAGCCGGCGTGGGCACGATCGTGACTTTGCCGTTGGTGATCATGTGCTCATCCGTAACTACTGTGGCAAACCCAAGTGGGTGCCTGGAGTGATTCTTGCGCAGCATGGTCCTGTTTCCTACCAAGTACGCGCCACCACCTCCAGAGGCAGCTTCACCTGGCGTCGGCACAAGGACCAGCTGCTAAGAACTCCAAGCCTTGTCGACGAGGACGCTGACCAGGAAGGCACAGAGTTCTTGTTGGTTCAACCGAGCGACAACGCACCCCAACCATCGTCCTCGTCACCTACTGGCGGAACTGTCCCAGCCGAAGCAGCACAAGCGCCTGCTGCCCGACGGTATCCGGCAAGAACCCGGAAACCTCCCGAAAGATTTCAAGCCGGATCTTAACCTTTTTGAGCGTGTTCAAATAAAGAGGGAGGAAATGTCATGTCTGGGCGCGCGCCGCCGATAACAGAATATCGTAGTACGGCGCATGCGCCACTAAAAGATAAAAAGCGGTGCTCCGCTGGCTGCCGCCTTTCTTTTGCTCAGTTACCCCCCCTCCATGAGCATGGTGGAACAAACCTGTCCTTTCGCCTTTGGAAACCTGCTTGTTCCTCGCTTCTGGCCGACATACAACACTATATTTACGGCGCGAAACGAATTTGTATTTGGCGCCAGCGAGACCCGCTTTTGCCATTTGGTCACGTGGTAGACCTGTGCGCCGCTGCCCTGGGCTGCCGCCGTGGCAAAGTCAATAAAGCGCGATCCAAACCAACGCTTCTTTCTCCGCCTGTAGGTCGTGCGGCTGCGGATGTGACGTATTTTCGTGACGTCGCGCCACTTCTTCGCTCCTTCCGGGCGCGCACAAAAAAGTTGGATAGTTTCAACTTCTTTATCAACGCGCACAAAAACGCGAGGTGACGTAGTAGGACGCTCCTGTGTCCCGGCCAATCGGTGGAGGGCAAGCTAGTTCCGGCTCCGCGTTTCTCGCCGTCTGGCTGCCCTCTCCTCCCCCCCTTTTATTCTCTTCCAACATGACAACGCGACCTCTCTCTCTCTCTTTCTCTCGCCGTCTGGCCGGCCAGTCTGTCGCAGTTGCACTTTGCTTGTGCGCTCGTGCCGAAGTTTCGCCCGTCCAAACCAAAGCACACGGTTCTGACTCAGAAAGCGCGCCCGGAAACAGCAAAAACGCCACGAAATGCGTCACATTCGCAGCCGCACGACCTACAGGCGCAAAAAGAAGCGTTGGTTTGGATCGCGCTTAAGCCGCCGCCACCACCGCCGCCGCCGCCGCCGCCGCCGCCGCCGCCGCCGCCGCCGCCGCCGCCGCCGCCGCCGCCGCCGCCGCCGCCGCCGCCGCCGCCGCCGCTGCCGCCGCCGCCGCTGCCGCCGCCGCCGCTGCCGCCGCCGCCGCTGCCGCCGCCGCCGCTGCCGCCGCCGCCGCTGCCGCCGCCGCCGCTGCCGCCGCCGCCGCCGCCGCTGCCGCCGCCGCCGCTGCCGCCGCCGCCGCTGCCGCCGCCGCCGCTGCCGCCGCCGCCGCTGCCGCCGCCGCCGCTGCCGCCGCCGCCGCTGCCGCCGCCGCCGCTGCCGCCGCCGCCGCTGCCGCCGCCGCCGCTGCCGCCGCCGCCGCTGCCGCCGCCGCCGCTGCCGCCGCCGCCGCTGCCGCCGCCGCCGCTGCCGCCGCCGCCGCTGCCGCCGCCGCCGCTGCCGCCGCCGCCGCTGCCGCCGCCGCCGCTGCCGCCGCCGCCGCTGCCGCCGCCGCCGCTGCCGCCGCCGCCGCTGCCGCCGCCGCCGCTGCCGCCGCCGCCGCTGCCGCCGCCGCCGCTGCCGCCGCCGCCGCTGCCGCCGCCGCCGCTGCCGCCGCCGCCGCTGCCGCTGCCGCCGCCGCCGCTGCCGCCGCCGCCGCCGCTGCCGCCGCCGCCGCCGCTGCCACCGCCGCCGCCGCTGCCGCCGCCGCCGCCGCTGCCGCCGCCGCCGCCGCTGCCGCCGCCGCCGCCGCTGCCGCCGCCGCCGCCGCTGCCGCCGCCGCCGCCGCTGCCGCCGCCGCCGCCGCTGCCGCCGCCGCCGCCGCTGCCGCCGCCGCCGCCGCTGCCGCCGCCGCCGCCGCTGCCGCCGCCGCCGCCGCTGCCGCCGCCGCCGCCGCTGCCGCCGCCGCCGCCGCTGCCGCCGCCGCCGCCGCTGCCGCCGCCGCTGCCGCCGCCGCCGCTGCCGCCGCCGCCGCTGCCGCCGCCGCCGCTGCCGCCGCCGCCGCTGCCGCCGCCGCCGCTGCGCTCTCGTGTGTGGTTCCTTTCATACTTGTTTTCTTCTTCCCGTCATTTTCCTTGGGTAGTCTTTTTTTGATTTTGTACTCGCTTGATACTGCAGCATTTACGTGGATTCGCGGAACAAGTCCTGCTACGTTTTGAGTGACATATGTGGAAACTAGTCAACGATGACTCTGGTCAAATATCAGTAGACCTCTCTCTTGACAAATGGCGACTTTTTGAGTTTGTGTTAAAATGTTTTCGTGACGGTCGTTGCGGGACGTATGGATACGATGGACAGGTGAGAAACAACTTATTAACAGGCTTTCTTAATCATGTAGCACGCGAGTAAACTGCTGCAGCCGTTTTTTGATTTTTTTTTTAATCTCGTGATAGAATGGATTTCGTTTCTTCGTCGTTATCCGTCTTTACTTGCGTCAATATTTGTAAATATGCGTGGTAATCTAGTTTTCACTGGAAGGTGAATAACACGTTTGTGTGATTATTGAAGTGCGTTGTTTTTACTTACGTGTTTGCTTATCGTAATGTTATTTTATTACCTTTACCGCGCTTATACTAGAATCTTCACTGTATTAAGGTAATAGTGTTATTGTATGCAAAATGAAATTACTGGACTAAATAGTAAGTTTAGTACCCCTGCCACACGAAAAAATTTAAATATTTTCATTAAATGATATAAGATTTAATTAGCTTGCGGTCTGGAGTGATTATACGAGCATCGCAAGCTGATTGGTCGACCTCATAATTTCATTCGATCAAAATTATATTAATTTTGCCATGTGGCCAATGTATATTGCGATAATTCAGTGTCGGTACGCGATAACATCGCTGACATGGGCGTCAGTAACACTTGTCTAGCCCTGTCCGCGTTGCATATGTCTACCTGATTTTTAAGTGATCTGTTTTGCTGGGTCGAATCACTGCGTTTCTCGCCATTTTTTCGAAGTATATCTGTATAAAATACGCATTCCTACCGCAATATTTGCGTGACTCAATGTTTTCGACTTAAAACAATCACATTTTCCTATAGACGTCTTCTTATTCGCGTACCTCGTGCCATTTCGTATCGATTATTTAGCTGCATAATATTTTGCCCGTGTGATAAATTGTTTTCTAGACTCGTTGCTATGTGCAGCTTTCATCTTATTTAATAAGGCACGCCTATGTGACTAAAAGCGCGTTACGACGGTCGATCCACGCACGTTGCCTTCGCTTCGACGAGCGCCCCCGGTGGCCTTCCTTTGCGACGTCATGAGAAGAGAACTCCGGCCTTCTCTTCTAGAAGGTGTTGGCGTGGTGCGCCGTCGGTGGAACGCGTTTTTGCACTCCACTGCCGCCGCCACCGGAAGGGAACACTCCGGCGCGCCGATGCCGTGAATTTCTGAACGGAGCACATGTCTATCACGTGCTGCTTGCGCTATTTCGGGAGCTTTCTATGAGCTCTTAAAGGCCGACGACCAGACTCGAGATTCTGCAAGGCAGAAGATCCTCCTCACCATGGAAGAGAAGGAGACAGGCAGCGGTGGACAGGTTAAAAGGGGGAGAGGAGGAAGCGAGAGAAAAGTGGAAAGCGCGAACTGGTCGTCGGTCTTTAAGCGCCGTTCACATAATTGCGACCGAGTACGACCGAAAGAGACCAGACCGGTTTTTAAGCCTCTTGCGATCTCTTCAGACCAGCTCCGCTGCAGCGCATCCGGTCCTTATAAGTCGCAAGAGGCTTAAAAACCGGTCTGGTCTCTCTCGGTCTTAGTGGGTCGAAGAGTGTGAACGGCCCTTTAGAGTTACTTATCAATCTTTGTTTTTTTGTTGCACTTCAAACGAAGATGAATAAGTAACTTTTAGAGTTCATAGGCAGCTTTCTAAAGAGCGCAAGCACCACGTGAGAAATAGTGGCCAGTCGCGTGGTAAATAGAGGCCAGCTTTTCGCGCCCGCCCGCGGGCATCAACTACAAGTTCGATTCGCGCCGTAGATATAGCTCTCAAATTTTTTTTTCTCCATTGGAAATTCGTTTCGTGACTAACTTTTCCCATCCAGGCTTTATTTTTTTTTGTTTCTTACTTAGCATGTTTCCTTTAAGAAAAACATATTTGAAGCCGCCAATACAAGCACTTTACGGATCATCACACTTCCTAACACAAAATTTCGTTATTGGAGGCACTACATTTGCTTTGCAAGTTGAATAAATACTTGCGGAATGTTCGTCTGCACTACCCATTGGTGTCTTCGTAAAAGTGCTGTATTCATCAGGAGAATTGCCCAAACCATTTTCTACTAAGTGAACTTCCTGCTTTTCTTGAAGTTCAAATTCTTCAATGTAGTCTCCTTTTTCCTACAAGTACTCTTCATTCTACCGCTAATCAATATAGAGGATAGGAATCAATTTAATTTAGATCGGCATTTGAATCGTGACTTCAATGAGTCCAGTTTTATTATTGTACAAACCAAATCTTTCCCTCAGAAATAATTCTTCCAATATTGTTATTTACCGTTTCTCTATTATTCTATTATTTTTGTGTGCATCTCTACTGTAGAATTATTAAGTAAGAATTACGATAGGCTGAACCACGCAAATCAAAGTGATCTGTTTAGCAAATAGGGGCGTTGAGCTTGATTTCTGGCTTCCAATTCGTTTGTGAGTTTTTAATATCCTTTTGCAATAATATCAGAGAGCCAAAATGAATATTAATATTTAATTAACTAAAGAAAAATCAATTTCCTTTTTTTTTCCACAGCAAAACCAACGCTTTTAAGGCACTTTAGGCGGCTTGCAGAACCCTGGCAACCTAGGTTCAATCTTCACCCCTGCCCGTTTCGATCTGGATGGGCATCGTACCGGCGTGCTGTCGTGGTCACCACTGCGTGATGCACGTTAAAGACCCCAGGCTAGCGGTTATACTGCACTGGCTAAATTTCTCACCTCAAGCTGGAAGACTTGTTACCTGTTGAGGCAGGCCAATTTCTAGATTGTATAAACATACACACAACCCATTTTTCTTAGGCGGCTTGCAAAAGTTGGTTTTTCAGCGTATCGCGCTGTAATTTTCTACAAATGTGCATGCAGGTGGTGAAAGTTTACAGAGAAAAAAATTAAAAAGAAGCTTATCTCGTTACAAAAAAAAAAAAAAAAAAAAAAAAACAGACACTTTTTTATTATTATTTTGTACGCCGCCACTTGGCAGACGAGGGAGAGGTGCTGCCGCTGTACGGCGTATGCCGCATCCAGGGAGCGCCGGCCAAATCAGGTTATGTCAGCAGACGATCGCGCAAAAGTACCCGAGTCGGCTGGCGCTCCCCCGACGAGGTTCGTCGTCGAATCTTTTGACACACAGTGCGAAATTGTGGTGTCCCATGACGTCATAATGTATATGTTGGGTGTAAAGTCGGGGTGTAAAGTGAAGCCATGGCGTAACGCTTTGCGACGTCTTGACACCTTGACCTCATGCGATCGTATCGTATACTGTCACTTGACACGTAAAGTCATATAATTTAGCCGGAGCACTAATAAACACCAGCCATGAAATCGCACCATTTCTCCTTCAATGCAATTCTGTATATGTCACCTTTCAAATATATATAGAAATACAACTGTAATGTTTTGGTGTCGTAATCTCAAATATTCAGTATATGGAATAACAAGCAAAAATTTGGCTGAACCGTTCCGAACTGGTGATCGTTAAATAATTTCCTTGTTTAGTTTCGGTTCAGTCTCAAGATGGTGGCAGAGATTTATGATCGCTTCGGTTCCGGTTCGACTGAAAATAATCATTCGCTTTTGGTTTTCGGTTCGGTTCGGTTCCGGTTTGACACTGTGGTCACGTGACTTGCGACGGTGAGGGGAAAGGGAGGCAACCGAGGAGGACGAGATGGGACTGTATACAGTATACTCCGTTGGCGGCGCAGCGTTATGCCACCTCGGAAGTATTTTTATCACCGCAGGGAGAACACCCTAAAAAGGGAAGGGATAAAAATACAAAGGTAAGGGGAACAATGGGGCGGGGGGGGGGGGGGGGGGAGTGATTGGTATTTTCCGTGACATATATTTTCCCGAAGCTATTGAAGCTGGTATTTAGGATACCCAAAGTCGATTTCCGCTGCTAAGTTTAGCGGGGAACCTAGATCGGGTGTCACGGGACGTCAATTTTCTCCAAAAATTAAGCGGAGCAATTGAATTGGTGTTTACGTCACAAGACGTGAATATTTCTGCTAAATTTAGCTGGCAAACTGCACTGACCGATAGGTCACAAGACTTCAATTTCTCCACTTGGTATTGGTCGCGTGACATTAAGGCTAGTGACGTCCGTTTCCCGGCTAAATTTAGTGGAAAATGCACAGGCGGTCTGATCAACGGACTGTCAAAACTTCGGCATTGGGTGCTCGGTTAAAAAAAAAAAAATTCCATGCTTTAATAACTGGGACGCTCCAACTCATAGCAGTTACTTGCTTGTATTAGGGTGAATCTTGCAAGCGAGATCAATTTGACATGACGATTGAAAACCCGAGACTGTGGTTTGAAAAACGGAAAATCTTGAAGTAGGAAGAAAAAGGGACAAACAACGTCCCAAACTCAGCTGAAAACTTTATTGCCTCGATGTCTTATATACCCCTCCCCCGGACGTCAAACGTCGCCACCACCACAACGGTTGATCACTGAACTACAAACAGTACAACGGGATGGCAATACATCGAACCGCAACCAATACATAAAAAAAGAAAAAAAAATAGAAAAAAAGCGTTATATAACAGAAACACAAGGTCTTCACCACCGCACCCGGAAGGACTTCGACGCGCACAATGTAACACCAGCAACTGAAAACACAAAAATGACCGTCTCTAACTTACCCCCCTTTCCCCTGTACTGAACCATGAATCACAAGCAGTCGCCAACAATGCCCCCATTACGATCCCGAACCCAACAATGCAAACAACTGCGAAGCATCCTCCTCCCCTTATACGTTCACCGTACACTAGGTCTTTACAGACGAAGAAACTTTTTTGATTCACTTCCAATTTGCAGTGACACTTGGCTAATGCAATGTCCTGATGTTTTATGCGAACAGTTTGCCGCACAACACGTCTCATCTCCTCACGCTCTTCGTGTACGATTTCTGTCTCTGACCAGTTCGCTGTACATGCATTACACTCCTGGAGATGCCTCGCTAGTTCAGAGTTTGAAGTGTTAATCCGCACATTCCGTTTATGTTCTGTCAACCTATCGTTAATGCATCTTGCAGTCTGACCAACATATTTAAAGCCGTATTCCAAAGGAGTTTCATACACTATTCCACTGACACATGGAACAGATCTGTCACGATTCATTTTTTTACATTCCTTTTGTCCTGCCTCAAAAGGAGTCAGTTTAGCTAATTTGAAATCGCATGTAAAAACGGTGTTAACCACAAATCTCTCTGCACATGCCTTCAAGTTATGCGAAATGGCGTGAAAATCTGGAATGGCAGCCCGTCGGTTCTCGACACTTCGCCTATCTTGCTTATCTTCGATATGTAGAGCAAGCTGCCGTTTCATGAAGGATTCTTGATAGCCGACCCTCTCCAGTCTTCCCCGTTGTCTTTTTAAAGGTTGCTCTATGTAATGAATGCATGACCTTTGTAGAGCGTTCTGGGTCAGAGACTTCACTACCCCTGCCTTTACAATTTTAGATTGACAACTCTGCTTCGATAGGACCGGTTTTGGTGCCTGCTTCCCTTATTCCCAACACAGCCGACTGCCCACATGAATGCGAAAATCCGAAAATTGAATGACATTCTCCTCCGACTTTTCCATAGTGAAACGCAGCTCCGGGGCCGCTGAACTTATTACATTTTGTGGAGTATTCGAAAAGTTATCTTGAAAAGTGCACACTATTATATCGTCGACATGTCTTCGGACAAAACCTACATCTGGGGGCAACACCCTCAGCTTCGCAACCACAACTCTGTCTAGGGTGTTGAGATAAATCTTGGCCATAAGCAGCGTGACCGACGATCCTATACAGACACCCTCCTGCTATACCTACATTCGTTCATCATACTTAATAAGTGTTGACTGCAGGTATCGGTCCAGAACTATGACAAAACCATCTACCGACACTCCCGACTTTAAGTGAAATTTCAGTATATTTAGCTCTAACAGTTCCTTCACCGCCGACATCAGTCTTTTCTTTTCAAGAGAATAATATAGATCCTTTATGTCCATTGAGAAAACTGAACACTTCCTACAGTGATTGCTATTCATGACATCAATAAGCTCTCCTGAATTTCTTAAGGATAGATTATGCTCCAAGGAGATTAGCCCTAACCCATGTTGGAGAAGAGAAGAAACGATCGTCTGCCAAGTGCCAATTTCATTTATAACAACTCGGAGACGCATGTCAACCTTGTGGTCTGTTAAAAAGAATTTCAAACATAAAGTCGTCTTGGATTGGGACATGATGCTCTTCACTACACTCTTCTTTTCCTCATCCTTTAGTACGTTACAAATGTCTCTCCTTAACTTTCCTAACTTCCCTTTTCATTTCCTGAACAATGACCCCAAAGCATCGTCTGTGTTTCTCCGGAATGCCTGCTCCGTTATGACAACAAACTATCCGGACTTATCCGTTTGAAGGAGTTTCAAAGACTGATTCCAGCTCCTTCTTCACCATGTTTACGTATTTGAAATTCCTCCTCTCCGACGGGTATGCGTCCCCCCTAACCTTTCCTAATCTCCCTACAGTTTGATCGACAAATGAAACTCTTTCATCGTGATTTACATACCGTGCAACGGTCTAGACCGCGGAAAACAGATCCAGTCTGGATGGCTTTACATTCATACAAAACTTAGGACCTTTTCCCAGTATTGCTTCTGTTCTTTCCGAAATCGGTTCTTTACAAGGCCACACCTGGTTGACACACCGTCTCAACCGGGCCATACATCCAAACGTCGGGCACAGTCACATTCCGCAGTTTCATCATCTTGATCGAGCTCAAAACATGCGATCTTTTCACATACGAAATCTGGTTGTACTGAACCGCCATGACATTGTCTCAGTGTTGATATTCCTTGCTTTTCCTGAATTCCCTGCCCAGGAGGATGTCCTACAGTCCATCGCTCGCACTCCGGAATTTGTGGATTCTGTTGGTCGCTCCTTCTCTGTATGTCCTGAGGATTCTTTTCTTCTTCATGTGAGGTTGCCTGTTGAAAGATGCTTGAAAAGCAGCGGATCGATGAAGTTCTTGCGAAGAGAAAGCCCG